GTGAGAACAATGCCTGTCAAAGAACTCCAGTCACTGGTCAGCAACTTCTTGTTCTCCTTTGAGTAGTGTGCACAGATATTCTCATACATAGGTAAATCCAAAGCAGAGCCCATAACACCTGGAGATGGGATATGGCACCTCTTAAGCAAAAACTGACTGGAGTAGTACTGCCAAAGGCATATCACTCTAGGACAGAGGTTCTCAAACTGTGGTCCGTGGACCACCATCAGTCTGCGAGCTCCATTCAGGTGGTCTGCAGAAAGGTTGTAGAATAATCGAGGCTACCTGAACATGTAAAGTAAGACTACTGATATGAAAATATGAGTTGTGTGTTTTGATTTGTAGAACAAACAAAAAAAGTTTCTTAAGTGGTCCGTCAAGACCCTCAGCAATTTTCAAGTGGTCTGCAAAAAAAAGTTTGAAAACCACTGCTCTAGGAGGTTTCCACAATCATACAGGGAATGGTGTGGGCCTTAATGAATGAGTCACATGGAATGGGCTCAAACCACAGAGGGATGATCCAGCTTGGTCAGTTCATAACAGAGACTAATACAACCAGAAATACTGGTGAATGCTGCTTGGGAGGAAATAGCTATAGTCTGGAGATCCAGGGTATCAGCTATAGACAGGTGTAGAAACTTTCTAAAGAGTTTGGTCTTGGATAGGTAGCAGGTCAGAGCTCTGTTCACATACAGGGTGTGGAGAGTGGCTTCAGCACCAAAGTCGTGTGGCTCGGGGAGCATGGGGGAAGGGAGAGGGTAAAGAGGAGCAAAGAAATTTCTTGGGTAAGATGGAACTGAGATATCCTTGAGCAAGAATTTCTGGTGAATACATAGAATAATTTTGTCTGAATAGAAGGTGATTCATGATGAGGGCTTGAAATTCACTGATTAAACTGGCAGAAGTGATTATTTTATTTTATTTTATATTTAATGTAGGTGGCAGGGGGCACAGGGGCTGGTCCTGATCTCCACAAGGTTGGGGATTGGTGTCCCAGCTCCCAGGAACCTGCCTCCCAGCCACGTGGAGATTGGGAAAGATTCAGTCATATAACATTGCTGGATGTCACTACTGCAGGTAATCACGCAAGTTCTGTTTCTCCATGGGGCCACAAGTTAATGATTGGAGATCACCTGTTGTCAAGTAGGGTGGGATTGCATCCTAGCTTAATATATCTCTTTCTAAATAATTTACTTCTTAGGGGTAGCTACTGAGTACAAGTAGCTAAGTAATATTATATTATATATAAAATAAATAACTTTGGACAATATCTGAATGATTTTTCCTCTGGATTTTTTGTTGTTGTTGTTGGGTTTTTTGGGGTTTTTTTACAAAGTAAGTGGCATTTAGAAAGAAATATCCATAAAAATGATGACAAGCTAACTAGAAATGTTGCATTGTTTTTGTTATATGTCATACTCTAGAGAAAATACAGTATGTGGCTGTATAATTAAAGACCGTTTCATAATACATATGCACTGAGGGAATCAAATTAGAATTGCAGAGACAGCCTTAATCCCAGCATATTTTATCTTTGGAGTGTTTCAGTTTGCAATCTAAATAACGTTCTTTAATATACAGTGTGTGTGTGTGCACGCAGTTTTCTAAATTTTGAAAAAGCATACCGAAACCACCCCCAAAATCCTATCATGCAGCATCTTACTAATACTCCCATGGGTCAACATTAGGGTTGAAACATTTAGATTCACAAGACAGACTTCTGTCACAAAGTCACGGAGTACCTAATGGCAATAAGGGGGTATCATACTTTAGGGCAGGGGTGTCCAACCTTTTTGAACGTGCGGCCGGATCACGAACTTTTATCACCCAGTGGGCCGGCAAGCCATATTCAAAGACATCACAGGAAGTGGTATCATATCAGGAAGTGATGTCTCATGACCTTTGACACCAGTGAAATTGCAGGGGTTGACACGGTGCTGGTTGACATGGCATGCATGCCCGGGTTGACATGGTGCTGCAGGAGCCGCTTGGCTACAACTGGGTTGACCTGGTGCTGAGAAGCTGCGGGGCCAGGCCAGGGTTAACCTGGGGCCCACCCGGCCTGCTGGTGCCATGCCCGGGTTGACATGGTGCTGCAGGACCCGCCTGGGGTCAGCACCGGCCAGGAAAAGCAGCATGCAGCTGAAGCCGGCTTCCCATGTGCTGCTGGGGACGGGAGGAGGCCGGTGAGGTCTGCACCGGCCAGCAGAAGCGGGGGGGGGGGCGGGGGCTGCTTGGGAATGACC